TAATTCCCAATCTTACCTGTATTTAAAGTTGTGAATTGAGTTTCACCTACATCTTGCTTCTTTAGATCATTTCATTTGCTCTCTACCCTTACTCTAAAAGAAAACTTTATAGCATCTCTATCACACATCTGAGTTTCAAGCTTCCATCCGTGCTCACTTGTTCTATTCGTATTCATTGTATATATCTCGTCATTTTCCACCCTGTTAAACCCCTACGTATTTTATACGTCGTATCATGTCCCTCATCTTCCTCTTCCTTTCTAGCATCAGCAGGTTTAGTTCCTTCAGCCTCTCTTCATACCTCATCCCTCGCAATTCTGGGGCGAGTCTCGTAGCAAACTTCTGCACCCTTTCGGGCTTCCTCATGTTTTTCTTTAATAAAATGGGGGCTCCACGATGGGACGGCTGGCCTCACGTAGACGGTATACAGTGACCAAAAAGCCTCCTTATTTAAGTTAACTAACTTTTCTGTTTTACAGCAACGTGAGGTTTAATTTCCGAGGTCTCTCCTCACAGCTCATGCCCCTATATGTGTGTGTTTGTAAACTCACCTATTTCTGTCTGCAGGATCGAGCACTGACTCTTAGATCCCGCCTTTCGAGCCATTGGTTCTTTATAGCAATGACTCCGGTCCTATTTCCCTATCATACCTAGCCCCCTCGTTCTGTTACTATTCTGTGTGAACATTTCGTCTATGTCCACTCTGTCAATCCCCCCTGAGTATTTTATACGTTCCTATCATATCCCCCTCCCCCCCTCTCCATTCTTTTTTCTAGTGTGGTAAGGCTCAGTTTCTTCAGGCGCTCTTCATATTCCATCCCTCGTAACGCTGGGACGAGTCTCGTTGCAAACTTCTGAACTTTTTCCAGTTTCCTTATGTGTTTTTTCAAGTGGGGACTTATCAAACAAGAAAATTAACATTTGTCAACCTTTAAAAACTTACGTTATCTTGTGGATGCAAAATTGGAGAATCTTTTGAGAACAGCATTTATATTTGACAGATAGTATTTTCCTAGGTAAGTTACGGGCTCACCATAGCCCGTGCTACTTGGAACTTGTTCCGAGTAGCTGAATCTATAACAACAATGACAGTATTTTCCTAACTCAAACGTTGTGGGGTCAACTATGCTACACACATTTCTAATGTCTCTTAGATGGTCACACTCAGGTAGTGGTCAAGGCAGTGTCCATCACTCTCACCACAAATTTTGCAACTCCACTTCTCAGCTGTCGTTTCCATCCCGAATCTCCATGGATATTTGTATTCAAGACGCATTCTTACTATTACTGATTTCCTCCCGCGGTCACCTCCTCTTTGTACATAATAATGTTGTCTGACAATACCTCTAATTTGTAGCAGAGTCTTAGTTATGAAGTATTCAATATGGTCTCCTTCAGCAGCCAGCACATCTGCTCGTTCATTCCACAGATTCCAACATGGGGAGGGGATCCACAGGAATTTGACGACTTTCCTGATTGGTTAGTACCCTCACAGCTCTCTTGCCTTCTGCAACTATCGCAAAGTTTTCCGCCCGATGACTATTAAGTCTTTGTAGTGCTGCTTTAGAATCAGTGCAGATCACTGCACCGTTAGTGTTTCTTTCAAGAAATCTTTAACAATGGTAATTGTTAAAGTATGAGGATAATGAGGAAAGGCTGCCACATAACTAAGCAGACCAGCTGCTTGGGAACGTTCTCTGAAACTACAACGAACTATGGAATCATATTTGTAATGACGAGTTATAAATAATTGCTTAAAAATAAAGTAGTATTTTCATACGTATAATAACAATTGTATAAATTGATAATAAACTATATATTATATAAACATTTGCAGCCCGCCAGATAAGAGAGGAAACAAGAACATAATTTTACTCGTGTTCTAATACTGGTTTAGGATTAAAACATTGGTTTTAATTGTTTATTGCACACTTGAGGTTGCCTTAATAACTCCTTATAGTGGTTAATAAGCATTAAACCAACCCATCCTCCGAATTGACAGTACGATCTAACACTAAGTGTAATAAGTACACTTTCTAACTGTCATAACCAGTGCATAATTGCACTTATGGGGCTGTTACATTTACCCAACTCCCTCCCCTGATTTAGTTCCCCTCGTTTTCTGTTAAGACACACAAAATATTAGGATGAAATTTCAATTTGTATAACACAAGTTTTAAATATCAAAAAAAAAATTTCTGGTTTATTAAACAATATAGATTTTATACAAAATTTTAAAATATCCTGAGTTATTTTACAATTTATTGATATATTTTAGTTTTCTTTTATTAGTTTTATAAAACTGTAATATCAATATAGCTATAGGTTAAGTACTAATTGTAATTAAGAAGCAATAAAATTATTATCTTCAAAAACTAAGACGGTTAGGTGAGGTTGTGGTTTTCTATTCAGTTTTTGGGGTAAACTCAAATATTCACAATATATTTGACAGTACGATTTAATACTAAGTGAAAATAAGTACAATTCCTAACTGCTATGAATAGTACATAATTGCACTTATTTGTCTCCTTACATTTACCACCCCATTTTTGGAGGACGGGCTGCATTAAACACACCACCTACAACTGAACGACCTCATCAATAAAAAGCTTTTGAAAAATAATAGTTTCTCCAATATATCACTAAGGCATCTATCTTGTTAGACATGCCAGAGCTCTGAATATTTTCCAGATTTCCAGATATTTATGGCTTGTGATACATGTTCTCCGAGCTTCCGTTCCTTTGTTCCGTTCCGTTCTTCACAAAAAAACTTATATTTTCAAGTTGATGCACAGTTCATTACGTGACACACAGGCGAATGCATGCTGTCAACTTTGAGATTAAAGAGCCAAGAGCAGTTTAGAACGGACACCATGCAGTTAGGTGGGCCACTTTTAACATATGATAAGGCTAGTACAATGACTGTTCAGTATTTTTTTAATTTCATTAAATGTTATTTAATGTACTGTGATTTTGTCTCCTCCTCTCTCATATTTAATCACCGCAGAACAGGAGTGGGAGAGTGATGCTAGGCTAGAGGAACTTGCCTCCTGTACCGACAGGTATAGGTTCCCTGGAGGAAGCATCTGTATACCGAACAAAGGTATAACCAGAATACCAGGGTACTTTTAGAGCCCGTGGTGCTATTGCTCACGTATGGTATTGGCTGACAGCCTGAATAAGTGCGCTGGAGTTTATGGTGCATCTAGCTTCGCTAATTATTTGACAGCTGCACAGGGCTCAGTGTGAGCCGAGTCATGATTGTTTGTACAGTGGACACTGGGTTGGCGAACTCTGCACCCCTGTCTGAAGTGGTTTGAACGATGCCTCGAGGAGTAATTATGGACTTAAGTCATCCGAGAGCTCATTGCGAGCGTTGTCCACTCAGCCATCAATCCCCCCCATTAGCCGTCGGCCCCCCTTCCCCCCTCCCCACACACACACGCACATGTGTGTGTGTGTGCATTTTCTAATTGTGCCTGTAGAATCGGGGCATCAGCTCCTGGATCCCGCCTTTAAAACCAACCTATTTTTCCTCTATTAAGTCTACTACATATAAATTACATCTCTACTACATATATTTCTCCCTAACACACACACCCAGGAAGCAGCCCGTTGCAGCTGTCTAACTACCAGGTACCTATTTATTGCTAGGTGAACAGATCCATCAGGTGAAAGAAACCACCCGTTTGTTTCAGCCTCGGCCGAGTATCGAACCGGGCCTTTAGGACTATGACCCCCGAGCACTGTCAACTCAGCCGTGTGTGTGTGTGTGTGTGTGTGTGTGTGTACTCACCTATAAATATGTGTGTGTGTGTGTGTGTGTGTGTACTCACCTATACTCACCTATAAATATGTGTGTGTGTGTGTGTGTGTGTGTGTGTGTGTGTGTGTGTGTGTGTACTTACCAAGTTGAACTTACCTAGTTGTGCTTGCGAAGGTCGAGCTCTGGCTCTTTGATCCCGCCTTTCAACTATCAATCAACAGGTGTACAGGTTCCTGAGCCTATTGGGCTCTATCATATCTACACTTGAAACTGTGTAAGGAGTCAGCCTCCACCACATCACTTCCTAATGCATTCCATTTGTCTACTACTCTGACATTGAAAAAATTCTTTCTAATGTCTCTATGGCTCATTTGGGCACTCAATTTCCACCCGAGTCCCCTAGTGCGTGTGCCCCTTGTGGTAAATAGTCTGTCTTTATCTACCCTATCAATTCCTCTGAGAATCTTGCATGTGGTGATCATGTCCCCTCTAACTCTTCTGTCTCCCAGTGGCGTGTGTGTGTGTGTTAGAGAAAGTAAAATGTAAATATTTCGGCAGTTGCCGTAAAAGCTAATATGATACTTTTTACTGGGTTCTCACTCTGAGAACCCACTTTTACTGGGTTTACTGGGATGCCGATCTCAGTAGGGCGGATGGGGGGGGGTGGTGTGGTGTGGGGGGCAGGGACTGTGTATACACGGGATATACACCAGTGAGGAGGACGGAGGAGCCGTCAGTACACAGCTGGACACGGGAGCTACTGTTACCGTCGGTGCGCAGCGCTAGCGTGACCATCTTCAGCATCCTGAGGCCACATTAACCTCACACCATGAACACCTTCACCGTCTTCTCTCTCCTGTGCCTCGTTATCGCCAGGTGAGTTATGTCCCTTGCAGATTAATGTAAGAACAGTTTTGTCAAAGTATCCTATAATACCTAAGTGAACCACGTTTTCTACAGACTACTGTTTATGCTATATAATTTTCTAGGGTTCTTTGCATAAAAATATTTCATTATTGTATAAATATTTTTGCTTATATATTTGTCAGTTTTTTATTATTGCTGATAATATATGTTGTCAGAAACGCTGTGCGTATTAGTAGTTTTATGTATTGTACGTACTAGCTCTATCTATAAATTCAACATTATGTTTGAAACTCATCTTCTATGTATTCTTCTTTTACCTGAATAAACATTTTTATTTTTGCATTTTATATTTTAATGTTTCCTCTAGCTGCTCTGGGTTGCGTTGTTTTCCCTGTGAGCAGAGGTCAACTCCGTGCCCAGACCCCAGTACCCTGAGCTGTCCGTGGGGCACCGTCAAGGACATCTGCTACTGTTGTGACATCTGTGGCAAGGTGTGTGAGTGTTTGTTACTGCTGTAGTTACCTCTCCACCAGAAGATTACAGTTCTCGCTACAACTTATAATTGTAGTCTCGTATCCAAAGGCATGTTACAGATCTCGAACATATTGTATTAGTTTTAAAAACATCAATACGTTTTCCATGAACCTATACTTCGCCTTGATGTATATTAATTATCCGTTATATTTAGTTGGATAATGCCTATTTCTTGTTGAATGTGTGTGTTTCCAGAAATCTTACTGGGCATAACTTTTATCATAAACTACACCATTTATTCATGAACAGATGTAAACCTGAGCCACAGGGAAGGTATACACCGAGGAGTACTCTTCTCAGTGAATATTTTTTACTTTAGTCCCGGACATGGAGACTGAAGTATTCTTCCTGGCTGGTCTGAACCTTTCAGAGATGGATAGGCCTTAAGCCCAACAGTAAAACAATCTTATGTAAATTAGTCAGTATAGTGAACTACACCGTGTTTGCAGGGCCCCGGGGAGGAGTGTGGTGGAATGTGGAACATGTTCGGGAAATGCGGTCGCTGTCTCGTCTGCAAGAAGGAAAGTGAACATGCTAAAGGAACTTGCGTCCCAGGAGGTTGTTGAGGACGCGCGCCATCTGCCGCCACGACCTCCGAACTGGTCGAGTGATCCTCCCGTCAAGACAACGACTGGCAACCCATGAAACTACCACGATTACCACTATGCTTAGAAATTGTCCTATTTTTACAACCTGTCTTCAGGGTTTGCTCGTTCAAGCGGCGGCAGGCCCTAAGACGCATTCTTAAATTTTTAATGTAATGTGTTTTAAATTTGGTATTTTCTTACATATAAAACAAACTATTATATTTGAATTCTGTACTTATTTCGGCATTGGCTCGTTTAAATATTTAAGTTCTGTTGGCAATTATTTGTATTTGTAGTATGTGGTTGAAGGACTTACAGAATTACGATGTGAACCGAGAGAATAACCTATGCCTACTGTTCGAGAAATGCTCGAACGTCATCAGCTGCGAGTCGTGTACTGTCAGCCCGCCTCAAATAAATGCCAAAGTCTATTCCTTGCAGCCGCCAAACCCCCTGTTTATGCAGGAACAACGGTTTACATACGACTCAACTGATTTCGTTCGAACACTTCCGGAGCAAGTGTTTCACTGACGAACTTTGTTCGAACCACAACCCTGTAAACAGCCCGTCCTCCAAACAAAGACCCAAAGTAATTCCATCCACCCGCCAAACCCCCTGTTTATGAATGAAAAACAGTTTACACACGACTCATAACTGATGACGTTCAAATACATCTGGAACAAGTGCTTCACTGACGAATTTTGTTCGAACTAGAACGCTGTAAATGCTTCATCCACGTACTACAAATACAAATAATCGCAAATAGAACCTAAACACCTAACCTAACCAATGTCTAAATATGCACAGTATGCTAATATATAACAACATTAATTTATATTTGAGAAAATTCCTATTATGAATGAACAGCATGATAAAATTGATGAATGCGTCTTTGGTGTCGACTGCTGGATGGAATGGGCTTGTTCTGGGGACGGGTTGTGTGTGTAGTATTTTTCATTTATGAAACATGGGGTTTGACGACTGAATTAAAGAGCCCCTTGCTTGTGAGGACAGGCTGCCATATAAATAAGTAGACCAGCTGCTTAGGGACGTTTTCTGAAACTACAACGAACTGTGGAATCTTATTTGTAATGACAAGTAATAAATAAATGCTTAAAATGAAGTAGTATTTTCATCCATATAATACCAACTTCACAAATTGGTAATAGACTATAAATTATATAAACATTTACAGCCCTCCAGATAAGAGAGGAAACAAGAACACATCAATCCTACTCATGTTTTTCCATTATCTAAAGAATTTTACTCATCAGGGCATACGCCGATAATCCTGAGCGTTTACATCAGGATTAGAACTTTCTTTCAGGTTGTTCAATATACACTTGTGGTTGCCTTTAAAAGTCCCTTCCAGTGGTTAAAACACATTTAAGCCCATCACCTACACTTAGCACCCTCATCAATATAAAAGCTTTGAAAAATCATAGTTTATACCACGAAGGCAACTCCCTTGTTAGACATGCCCACCTATATAGAAGACTCAGTGAATATTTTTGCTAGAGCTCTGGATATTTTCCAGAGTTCCACATATTTATGGCTTATGACATATGTTCTCCGAACTCCCGGTCTTTCCAAAAACATTTATTTTCAAGTTGATGCACAGTTCATTAGTACTGACACACAGGCGAATGAATGCATGCTGTAAACTCTGAATGTAGAGAGCAAAGAGCAGTCCAGTAGAACGGACACCATGTAGTTGGGTGGGTCACTTTCAACATTTGGTGAGGCTAGTACAATAACTGTTTAGTATTTATTTAATTTAAATATATGTCCTTTTATAGGCTGTGATTCTGCCTCCTCTTCTCTCATATTTTAACACTGCAGAACACGTGTGGGCGAGTGAGGCTAGGCTAGAGGAACTCGCATCATGCACCAACAGGTATAGATTCCCTAGAGGAAGTGTGTCTATACCGGACAACATCCACAAATAAAAGGGTACTTTAGAACCCGTGGTACTATTGTTCAAGTATGGTATTGGCTGACAGACTGAATAAGTTTGCTGAAGTTTATGGGCCATCTAGCCTTGCTAGTTATTTGACAGCTGCACAGGGTTCAGTGTGAGCTGAGTCGTGAGGCTTGTACAGTAGACGCAGGGTAAGTGAGCTCTGTACCCTGTTTGAAGTGGTTTGGACGATGCCCCGAGGAGTAGCTATGGACTGAAGTCATCTGAAAACTCATCACTATCAATTTCTGGGTATTTTAGACTTAAGTTATGGTCCTTGGGGGAGCTGTTAGTGTCCCTGCACTGTTAAGCAACACCATCACAGGGAGTTTCAAGCATTGTTTTGGGGGGCCCTGTCGGGGATACAACAACACTGCACATTCATCCCCCCCCCCCCCCACAAAAAAAAGTTAGTTCTGCAGTTTTAGAACATTAGTTCGAGTCTTTATGATGTACTCATGTCAGTCCTGCAGTCTACATGCATCAGTTTAAGACCTGCAGTCCTCACACATTTGGCCTTGAACAGTCTTCACAAGTTAATTAGTTCTTTTTGCAGTCTTCAGATGTTAGTCTGTAGTCCTCACACATTAGTCAATAGCTATTCTGTAGTCTTCACACATTAGTTTGACTTTTTTGCAGTCTTCACACATTAGTTTGTCTTTTTTGCAGTCTTTACACATTAATTAGTCCTACAGTCCTCAGAGGAATTATGTGAAATCTGAAAGAAACTGCACACTAGTTTCTGTCTCAGCCGGAAATCGAGCCTGGGTCCGTGGACTGCGAATCCTGAACGCTGTTAGATGGGCCGTGAGAGAGTATGTGTGTGTAAGTTTTATTTGTGTTAAAGTTTAAAACAAATATTTTTCCCATTTGACAAAAAAGCAGATATGATTTTTTTTGTATTGAATTCTCACTCTAGGAAAGAAATGATAATAAGCACAGTAATGACGGTTTCGGGTTGGAGGGTGGAGGGGCTTGTACCTGTATACACAGATATATATACCTGTGAGGAGGAGCCGCAGCGTCAGTACACACCTGGACACGGCAGCTACGGTTACCTTCGAAAAGCAGGTTACAACATTGAACATCGTGAGGCTACGTTTAGTCCAGCAAACGTGAACAGCCAGAACTCTGTGACCCTCACACCATGAACACCTTCATCCTCTTCTCTCTCCTGTGCCTCGTCGTCGCCAGGTGAGGTGTTATAACACAGTGTTAATGCAGCTCATCGCAACGTAATGGTCCTGGGTTCGAACCCCGGGAAGGGCGAAACGTTTTCCTACGTTTCCTTATACATGATACCTCAACGGATCACGAAGCAATAATAGGTTCCATGGGAGTTATGCAGCTGTTGTGTTGCATCCTGGAGGGCAGTAGTTAGTCTAGAAGGACCTTGATAAGCTTAAACAGGCGTCCTGTCCCTGATGATAGGCAGCCACATATGAAGGAAACCTTGAACCAGGTGAGACTTATTTATCAAACTTATTTTATCATGTATATATATATAATCAATCTTGCAGATGCCTTAACTCTTATGTTTGTTTATATTCCACAGGTGTTCTGGACTATCATGCGTACCTTGTAACCCCAACGACTGCCAGGACCCCGCTACCCTGAACTGTTCATGGGGAACTGTCAGAGAGGCGTGCAGCTGCTGTGAGACATGCGGCGGGGTGAGTTGATGTTGCTGTTTGTCTTATATTGTACAGTGATCTACGTTCTCGATTCACATTTCAGGATCCTGGGTTCGATCTCTCGGCGGGGAGGCAAAGTTGGACACCTTTCCTTTTCCCTGATGCTCTACCACTTGGGCTGGACGGTAGAGCGACGGTCTCGCTTCATGCAGGTCGGTGTTGCATCCCCGACCGTCCAAGTGGTTGGGCACCATTCTTTTCCCCCGTCCCATCCCATATCCTTATCCTGACCCTTTCCCAGTGATATATTTTCCCTGATGTTTCTGATCACCTAGCAGTGGGTGATCAGAAACCTGATCACCTAGTGGGGAGGGTCAGTAGTTGGACCTGGGGAAAAATTGGAGATACTCAGCCTAAGTACAGGCTTCCTGTCCCAGGCAATGAGAATTATTAATGCCTAGAACCCACTGTAGGGCTATCTCATACATATTCCACCAAACAATACATTACTCCACAATACAACAACTCCCCCATACAATACAGCAATTTTACACAAACAGTGTTGCCGTCAGTACAGTAAACCACACAATTATGTTCGCAGGGCCCCGGGGCGGTCTGTGGAGGTCCTTGGGACATAAAAGGCAAATGTGGCAGCTGCCTTGTTTGCAACAAGAAAACTGCAGATGCTGATGGCATTTGCGTTCCCGTCAAGTCCCATAGAGCCTGCAAGACTTCCACCACCGTCTAGCAGGTGCCACCGCCCAACTGACAACTGCCTCTACAGGAGAGACAACTTAATTAAGCACCAATCATGAAGCCTCACGATCGCTTCAACCTTTGTACGTTGTCACCATATAACGGAACTATTCTCACTGTGTCAGTTGATGAGATGTCAAAGTTCAGTATTATTCAAACAGCACAGTTAAAATGCTCAATATTGCACTCGTATAGACAACAATTGCAGTAGAATATGTAAAAGAGATACACATGTAATTCTATTCAAATATTATGCAAAGTATATATAAAAATTCTGGTATTTCTTGTCAAAAAATTCCTACTGGCGTCTGGTGAAGACTTCTTAAATAGTCTATATAAGACAGGGTTCAAAACCGGGTGAATCCATTCCACTTGGGGGTATGGTAGCACAATGATAGGGGGCATGGGACTCCATCTCTGAACAATTTAAACCATAGGTTGATAGAATTTATCGGGGCACTTCGAATCAAGTTACAGTTACCGTCAATAACTGTACCTCGATTTCATGTATTGAATGCATATAAGCAGCAGCATAAATCTCACAAGTTGGAGTTAGCTTGTGAATTTGTGATTTGATGTTTTCAATAAATAAATATGACAAAACGTTACTGTTTTCTTCAGCCGTTGTGTTCCTAGCTATCCATATAAAACCGAGCTATTGACATCTTTTGAAGTCACACTGGTACCTAATAGGCCTGGTGGTGGTGGTGGTGATGATGATGGTAGTGATAGAGATGGTGATGGTAGTGGTGGTGGTAACTACGACAGTCTGGTGAATGGGGGAATTGGGGCCATATTGGGTAAGCCAGTGATAGTCTACAATCGAAATAAGGTTAAGAAGCCCCTGGTTTAATACTTTTTCTACCACACAAAGGATGAGTATTTGGTGCACAATAAACTACCGCTCACAGGATGAGTATGGGGTGCACAATAAACTATCACTCATGGGATGAGTATGGGGTGCACAGTAAACTACCGCTCACAGGATGAGTATGGGGTGCACAATAAACTATCACTCATGGGATGAGTATGGGGTGCACAGTAAACTACCGCTCACAGGATGAGTATGGGGTGCACAATAAACTATCACTCATGGGATGAGTATGGGGTGCACAGTAAACTACCACTCACAGGATGAGTATGGGGTGCACAATAAACTACCGCTCACAGGATGAGTATGGAGTGCACAATAAACTATCACTCACGGGATGAGTATGGGGTGCACAATAAACTATCACTCATGGGATGAGTATGGGGTGCACAGTAAACTACCGCTCACAGGATGAGTATGGGGTGCACAATAAACTATCACTCACGGGATGAGTATGGGGTGCACAATAAACTATCACTCACGGGATGAGTTCTTAATAAAACTAAACAATAAAACAGACTGTGCTCGCGGCAACAATCACCAGGTAATAATTATGAAATCATCATCCCTCATGTTGATGGATTGTGCACGGACTCCACCTGATTGTTTAGAGTTGTGTCGGAGTGTTGTGTCGAGGAGTCTCCACCAGACTGGCGCCCGGGTCAACATTGCTGCAGGTTAGTCCTGAATATTGTCCAGGGGCTACTGTTAACATTGTCCACGACTATAGTTAACATAAGTGGACACCGCCCGTCACCCATTTCTGTGTGTGTGTAATTTAACATATTTATATTTGAAATTTAACATTTATTTAACAAATTCTCTGTTGAATCTGGCCTTGAAGTTGTGGACGGAGGTGGCGTCCACAACTTCTTGCAGTCCATTCCAATTATTGACCACTCGTACTAGGCTCCAGTATTTTCTTTCATTATTTCAACTTATTTGAGTTTCCCCTTGTTTTCTCCTGCACTACTTTCTCTCAATTTGAAGTGTCTGACCTTATCCATTTTATATAGTCTCCTCAGTTTCTTGTATGTTGTAATCGTCAGAGGTAATATGGGAGGCCACCAAGAGCGCAGAGTCTGACCTCAGTAACCCTGGCTCACACCAGGAAAGCTTTCACCCTCCTCTCAATTTCTTCTGTATCCCTTTATCGTGGGTTATGCCCCATACACTCATGTTAGCCATGAGACACTTATCAAAGTAGCCTATTATATTCTGGTGATCTACATCTTTTTATATATAGTATTGTCTTGATATATTTTTGAAGAATTCTTTTAATAAAATGTTAAATTTCATTATACAAATACTTTGGCTTTCATTATTTATTTGAAATTTTGTATTATTGTTGATAATATATGTTTATATTTTAATTTTTTAACTTTATCGGAAATTATCTCAAGATTTATATGGCTAGGAAAACTTGGCAAGATTTTGTTCACTTCCAACTGACAGGATCCTGGAACTCTGACGTCATTACCGCCAGATATGCGGGCTTGTATTGTGTATACACGGGATATATACCAGTGAGGAGGAGCCGCAGCGTCAGTACACACCTGGACACGGGAGCTACGGTTACCGTCGGTGTGCAGCGCTAGCGTGAGGTGACCATACTGAACATTGTGAGGCTACGTTAACCCTAGCAGACGTGAACAGTCAGGACTCTGTGACCCCCAACACCATGAACACCTTCACCGTCTCTCTCCTGTGCCTCGTCGTCGCCAGGTGAGGTGTTATACCAGTGTTAAATGCAGTCTCCTTACAATCAGTTAATCCCGGGTTCGACCCCCGGGAAGGGCAAAATGTTTGTCCATGTTTCATTATGCTGCCTTGACAGTTCAACATAGTAGTAAAGAGGTACCCGGGAATTATGCAGCTGTTGTGTTGCATCCTGGAGGGCAGTAGGTAGCCTATAGAAGGACCTCGATAAGCCAAAATAGGTTTCCTGTCGCAGACAAGAGGACGTCATTTATAAGGGGAAACCGTTAACCAGGTGAGACGTATTTGTCAGTGTACCATAGTTACCAAGTGAGCTCCGTTCTCTATGAATCTCTCAGCAGCTAGACTTACTTGTCAGTCACTTCCACTACAAATATGAGTTTCTTAGCAAACATTGTTCGTTAACCCAATATGCTCTAAAAGAATTAACATTAATTATACAAATTAATGTTATAAGTCTGTATATAGGACCTCAAGTCTACTCGAGGATGCGCTCAACTTGTAAAGAATCTTCTGTTGTTTATTTACTGAACAGATTACCGGGTAACGTAATAAAAGTGGAACCACCTCATTGTTTCAAGCGTAGGTTTGACATATATTTGAATATGTTTAGACAAATATAAATAAGATCTGCCTTGTGTGGGACGATGGGCATTTTGTAAATGCCTTACTACTTATGTTTTTGTATATCTCTCAGTTGTTCAGGGTTGAAATGTGTGCCTTGTGACCCCAACACGTGCCAGGACCCCGCTACCCTGAACTGTTCATGGGGGACTGTGATAGATGCATGCAAGTGCTGCGAAATATGCGGCGGGGTAAGTTGATTTTGCTCTTTATCTTATATTGTAGAGTGCTCTACGTTCTCGATTCACATTCCAGGATTCCGGGGTTCGATCTCTGGGCGAGACAGGAAAGGTAAGGCACGTTTCCTGTCTCCTGATGCCTCTGCTCACCTAGGCAGTAAATAGGTAACTGGGAGTTAAAAAAAAAATATATGGAAATTTGGTGTCACCCCAGAGAAGGCCTAAAGTTCCGGTTGGATACCAGATGGGTGACACTGGGATCCATCCTTATTGTGGGTGCTCGTAGCTCAGTTGACAAGACTGTGGGCTGTTGCTTTGTTGGTCTGCGCTTCGAGGGTTCGATGGTCCAAGGAATGTGTCTTAGTGCTAAAAAGTGAGTGTCCTGATAGGTTCAAGCGGAGTGTTGTCAATGCCTGTGTCAACCGCGCCCCTCATGCGCAGCTGGAGTTAGAAGTAGGTTGACGAGGAACTCGGTAGAATAAGGCGAATCCTAGTCAATAATGGATACTCTAACCGATATGTTAAAAAGATCATTAAAAGGAAAGTGAGCCGCCGTGCAACCTCGGTCAAAACAGACAGCAGTACATTACCAGGTCTTACTATTAAAATATTCTACAGTTACTTCGCGGCCCACAAAACGGAAGAGAGTCCTGAGTCCAGCAGTCTCCGTGGTGTGGTGGTAAGACACTCGCCTGGCGTTCCGCGAGCGCTATGTCATGGGTTCGTATCCTGGCCGGGGAGGATTTACTGGGCGCAATTCCTTAACTGTAGCCTCTGTTTAACGCAACAGTAAAATGTGTACTTGGATGAAAAAACGATTCTTCGCGGCAGGGGATCGTATTCCAGGGACCATAGGTTTAAGGACTTGCCCGAAACGCTACGCGTACTAGTGGCTGTACAAGAATGTAACAACTCTTGTATATATCTCAAAAAAAAAACAAAAAAAAAAAACATTATTGATTGCAATGCGATCCTTATCGAGGAAGATTGCCAACTTGCTCATTAAAAATTCTCCTGATACCAAACACAACCATTTGAAAGAAACGAATGATGTTTATGCCTTGATATGCCCACTTGGGGACTGTCAGCCCCAAAGAACTCAATATATAGGCAAGACAACAACATTCCTGTTAAGTCGCCTAGGAATGCAGAGACAGCAAAGCCTATTTGGAAACAGTCTACACATAACCCAGATCATTAACAGCGATATCCTGACAAACCACACCAAATTAATAGACAAATACAACGACAACAGAAGATTGGACATTGTCGAGGCATTATACATCAAACAAACCAAGACACCTGTCAACAACCAACACCATATTTCACTTTGCCATCTTCGAGACCACGACCAAATATACAATATACTGACCCAGCCATCATGGAAACATAGGAGATTGGTAAGTTGCAATGGTCCTATTGTCCTGTAGGTGAGGTGTTTCACCTTTACTTAATCCCCAGTTATATATCAGGCAGCGAAAACCTTGTAATTGTAATACAGCCTTGTAATACAGTCACAAAATACATCCACTTCTCCGTACATTACAGTAAATTCATCATAAAACACATCCACTACACCATACAATAAAACCACACCACTATACAATAAAGCCACTAGTGACTCATCATGTAATACTGACACCACCATACAATCTATCAGTAGATTGACAATTGAGAGGCGGGACCAAAGAGCCAAAGCTAAACCTCCGCAAGCACAACTAGGTGAGTACTCTACGACCACTCCACTCCATTCAATACAGTCACTACACTATACAATACAGCCACTACACAATACACTATAACCACTCCACAATACAACACAGCCACTACAGCACACCATACAGCAACTCCACACAAGCCAGTGTTTCCGTCAGTACAGTAAGCCACACAAAATTGTGTTCGCAGGGCCCCGGGGCGGTCTGTGGAGGTCCCTTTGACATAAGGGGCAAATGTGGCCGCTCCCTCGTCTGTGACAAGGAAGGCGAATATGGTGATGGTATTTGCGTTCCCGCCAAGTCTCACAGAGCCTAGTGTCACCGTCCGGCAAGCGACTCTTCCCAGCTGGTAAAGTAAGCCAGCACCACCTTCCAGCTGGCAAAGTACCTCTACAAGAGAAACATTCAAGTGCTACAACAGGAAATTATCACGAATATCTCAATCTATGTACGTTGTCACCATAATAATAAGTGGAACTATTGTGACGTGAAAGTTGTTCCAAAATAAATACCAAATTGTGAAATCTTATTATGTACAACTATTTCTAAATTATAAATAAATTTTTTATGAAATGTATCTGTTTATATTTGCTCCTTCATGAAGAATAATAATATATATATATATATATATATATATATATATATATATATATATATATATATATATATATATATATATATATATATTCTTGTGTAACCTATGATTTATACGAGTCGTAATGGCTTGGCACTTTCCCCTAATAATTCCCTCCTCCATAATGCATAGAATTCTACGGTAATTTGGACTCAAGTATTGGATCACGTGAGTGGCATTAGCATATAACGCTACTATATAGTTAAGTGCATTAACAGTCAATCAGAGAGCGACGGCACCGCTCCTGTGGCAGGTAAGTCCACTACGGGGTCACCATAGCCCGTGCTGCTTGGAACTTGTTCCGAGTAGCTGAATCTATAACAGCAACAACAAACAGTCAATCATCAGTCAGTCAATAAAGCAATCAATAACTTCATTCCTGAATTCAAATCCAACAATCTTTATTCGTAAATGATTATAGTTATGATTGAGCTAATTTACACAAGATAAATTAAAAATAATAGTATAACACGTAATAATTGTGATTATATTTTTATTAATATAGATTTAGAAACTTCATTCGTCAGAATGTGTACTCACCTAACTGTGCTTCCGGGGGTTGAGCTTCGGCTCTTTGATCCCGCCTCCACCTCTAATTTCTAAATTACTTCACAGTATTAATTATGGGTGAACTATTTCTATTAACAAAATATACTTGATATGGAAAAGCACATTGACTCCTGGTATCTCTGTTTTGTAACGGGGGGCCAAGAAAGAGGCCCCCCCGTTACAAAAAGATATAAGAAAGAAGTCGTTAAGAAAATATATACAGAAACCACAGTTCTGCTGTGTAACCTTCAGTATCATTCCTAAAGATCTAAACGTTTATTCATTTAAATATCACGACTCAAGGACACGGTACCCGCTATGCTACGCTGCACAACTCCTGGAGGGTAGAAATAGCCTAAGCTACTCTATCCCTTTGAGATGTATTTCTTTCTTGTCTCAATAAACATATTTGAACTCTGAAAATCGCTGCCACCACCTGTTAACCCACTGGGTAATTCTCTAAATTGACGGTGAAGTTGGGTACCGTCAATACTTGGATGAAAAAACGATTCTTCGCGGCAGGGGATCGTATTCCAGGGACCATAGGATTAAGGACTTGCCCGAAACGCTACGCGTACTAGTGGCTGTACAAGAATGTAACAACTCTTGTATATATCTCAAAAAAAAAAAAAATTAAGCATAAACCACGAAAATGTATCTCCAATTATCCGAAAAGGAGGGTTAAGCTTTACGTTAAGTGTGGTAATTAAAACAAAGTATAAAGGGATTATCTTAGTTATTAAATAAATGCTTGTAGGCTTGCAGAGAGCCCTAGTCTTAAGCATGGGGTTATAAGTCCAGTACTAATGTAAAATAACCGTTGAAAGGTGGGGGTAAATTGCACTAAACACCATAATCTTCTATAGAAAATTTTTTGAAAATCAAAGGTTATCAAAGAAAAAATTGAAATCAATAAAACCCTATCGGAACACTTCGTAACAATATTCGACGATTCTTCGCGGCGGGGATCGTATTCCTGGGACCATAGGATTAAGGACTTGCCCGAAACGCTACGCGTACTAGTGGCTGTACAAGAATGTAACAACTCTTGTATATATCTCAAAAAAAAAAAAAAAAAAAAAAAAAAAAAAATATTACACTAACGGAGGCAATTTGTAATTTAACTACTGCAATTAATGTAGATTCCTACACTATAATAGACTCATAAACACAAACATTTACCTTAAATATCTCAGACAGACCAGTTGTTAAGTCTTGCCCTCTGGAGGAGGAGAGGTGTTTACCTCCCAGGAGGTCGCAAACCACACTAACTCTTCCTCTCCACACTGACCTCTCAGAGGTTGACCTAGGCTAGTTGCCAGATTACTCTTTGAAAATGATTAATGTTAAAATCCTATATTTGTCACTAAAGGCGACTTTATTATTGCCAAAACAATTGAGAATTATCTAGATACGTGAGTCAGGCCACTTACACTATTCAGTAGCACCTGTATTTTATTAATTTACATGATTTAACAAACAAGTTGGGTAGGTACCTATTTTCCAGTGACGGAATATATTTTAACTATTTCAGATCTTACTGAAGTTAAATGCTTCTTTGATAACAGACAATACTTATTCATTAATCTCCATTGACGTTAATGTTAACTTAAGAACTTACCCCGATTCTTACTAATTCTGTAATACATTCATAATTCTCCTAGTTTGATGACTTGTCACGGGAGGCGAGTGGCGCCACCTTTTCTACATACGAGTAATCTCTTGGGAATGACCCAGGCTACCAGTCAGGTCATTACCAATTCTCTCTTAATATTTCACGTTAGATCTTATGGACTTTCCGTATTAACAGTCCTACTGTTAGTTTAAATAAATAGCTGCTAAATAATGACTTATTAAGTATTTACGTAACACACAGAAATCACAATAGCGTATGCATCAAATGAACAAATCCACAAGGGCCGTGACGAGGATTCGAACCTACGCCCGAGATCATCTCAAACGCTGCCTTTATCGACTAAGCTACGACATGGTCAAAAAAGAGTTGAAACCGTAGTTCTACTGAACTTACTGGATCCTGAAGCCTCTGCGAAGAGGGAGAACAGCCTATTGACATAGCTCGAGTGCATGGGAGAGTTGTGTAAAACCCTGGTTTGCGTCTCGGAGAGGCTGCAGGATCCAGTAAGTTCAGTAGAACTTCGGTTTCAACTCTTTTGATCATGTCATAGCTCAGTCGATAAAGGCAGCGTCTGGGATGATCTCGGACGTAGGTTCGAATCCTCGTCACGGCCCTTGTGGATTTGTTCAAGTATTTACATAATAACTTGCTATGCTCATTTGTATTTTTAATTTCATAAAATACATAATTAATACGAGTTACAGACCCACAAATCATATATTGCTGGCAAGAAGGGATTATTAGTCACCGCCGATGGTAATGTGAATCCTGTGTAGTCGAGAAAACTTATGTACTGTTCAAGGGAAGCTACGCTCGCTCTCTGGACAACCCGTCCTCTTACAAATTACGTCGCTTTTCGCTCGTATGCGCACTCAGGCTAAAAATCTACGTAATTCAAAATGAAATCGACTCATGAAAGTGACTTACTGTTTTGGGTCCTCTGGCTTAGGCTATTAGGTTAGGAGAGGAAACTTTCAATTTACGATTTTCATGACGTTTTGAAACCTTAGAACTTTCTGTCTTCCTAACCTTCCAGAGGGACCCTTAACTTGCTGTTTTGGAAAAACAAAATCCAAAATTTAATTGGAAAATAAATTTCCATTTTGAATTAAGTCGATATTTGGCCGTAGCGCATACGAGCGAAAAGTGACGTTATTTGTAAGAGGACGAGTCTGGTAATGGCGCCGCTTTCAGGAGGGAACAAAGACAAGGAGCCTCACCTTGAATCTGACGTCTCTGAAGTCTTCTCCGTAGCTTCGAGAGTAGACTGGTTGACGGGCGAGGTCCGCTTCGGCCGGGGGTTGTCGCAGGGTTCAAATCCTAGAGGCACAGAGAGCGAGGCAGGAAGTACAAGGGGGGCTACTTTTTGGCGTTGTGAGTGTCAACTGGCGGGGTCCGCGGATGGCGTCATGACCTCCCAACACAGCCGTTCAGCCAGTCACCTCCGGGCATACCTGGAGGTGATTGGCTAAATAATTTACGTCTATTTCTCGGATCATCTCGGTATCTGACCCACCTGGTGAAGAATCATATAATGGCGGACCTAAATGCATATACTGGATGCACCCTTTCTCAGAGAATATTCCAGCCATGTCTCTTATCTTCTACGAACACAGTTCACTATGTCGGCCATAATCATGTCTGTCAGATGGTTAATAAGCTCTTGTCATCGTTTTATTATTATTATTATTATTATTATTTTCTACCACAGACGTGGCCACACATTTACAATGCTAACTAGCATACATACATTTTCTTCTGTCCTCCATGGACAGGGTGAAAGATTTGTCAAACATACAGTTCAGAGATTTATTGAACAACCACAGAAGGTGATCGTAATGCTTTTAAAATGTTAGGCTAAGCTACATACGTAAATACATAGATACACAGATTTATGAATGCATTAATGTGAATTTATAATGGTGAAATGTAATTCTGATCAGTTTTATACTTTATACACATACACACACACACACACACACACACACACACACACACACACACACACACACACACACACACACACACACACACACACACACACACACACACACACACACACACACACACATATACACATACATTTGTCTCTTTTACTCTGACAGGGTGAGATAGCTGACAAGAGAAACTAGTGTGCAATTAAGAACTTAACCACTGAAGGTGAGTAAGATGCTTTTACAAGCTCAGGTTATATAGTTACATTACATGGTTAATCTAGGGTACAAGTTCAATATATCATCAAGTGGTCCAGTACTCATATAGTAGTTACAGAGTTCAGCATACCTCAGCCCAGGAGGACGAAAGTCAGACAATATGGGACATTCTACAATATAATGTTCAAGAGAGTGCATGTTTTCTCTTTCACAAAGTTGACACATTGTGTACTCGACATTTGGGTTTTGAGAAAGCTGCCAGATACGTCTATATCCCAGGCGTATTCTGGCCACTATAACATCACATTGCCGGGTTCTTGTTCTATTAGTCCCATATGTGAATGTCTCCTCACGATATATATCATAATATTTAATACTGCAACTTTCAGGTCTTTGTGAATTTATTAGGTCGGTGAGATCTTCATTAGATATTTGTTTAAGTATTCTCTTTGTCACTGCTAATGAAACACCCATATCAATTTCTACTACTGGTTTTCTACTGGCTGTCTTTGCAAGCATATCAACAGTGTTATGCCTTGAGATGCCAACATGTGATGGCTTGATAACTATCGAGAGGGTGATAGGCTTTGAACAGAACACCACCCCACCGGCCACAATATCCATCAGCGGCGTTGGTTCAATACTGAACCCACGTTATCATCTGGACCATTAACACGGCTTAATAATGGTCCAGAACGGACCGAAACGTCGTCGTTTCACCACTTTCTGATGTGTGGTTTAATCATCATTCTTTCAGCCACGTTATTGTGACTTATCATTTGCATTTGAATCAACGTTGATTCTGCGTTAAATTGGCGTTGCTCTTGGATATTGTGGCCACTGGGACACCACTTGAATAAGACCATAAACCCGTAACATAGATGTAAAGTAGAGCTGACTCCTTTATGGGACTTCACCACTAACTTACCCAGAGGAGGGTAATATCTTTGGAATTTCTCCCGCGTTGACAAGCGTCAGATTTGAAGTGGTTTTTGTCAATCAGAAGCGTTCGATCCAAGAGAAATCACCTCGAGACCGATGTTCATTAGTCTGAGAAAGCATCACTACTGCAGTGTTTTTAATAAAATAAAGCACAAAGAATTGTAACGCATTGATCGATAGCGTTTAAATTACAGTGCATTAAATGTAAAATAGATCCTACGGAACGTACCAAGGCCAGACAAGTGACTCTGTAGCCTAATATTTTGTCTAGAAACGGTAAACAATACAGCCTATTCAATCACAGGAAGAATGGGAAACATTGCAACCAATTCAGCCCCACGAAGAAACGGAAAATGTTACCACCTATTTAGTCCCACGACGAAAGGAAAATATTACAGATTATTCAAGCCCACAAAGAAACTAGAAACATTCCAGCCTATTCATTCCCATGATGAAACTGGAAACATTACAGCCTATTCATTCCCATGACGAAACTGGAAACATTCCAGCCTATTCATTCCCATGACGAAACTGGAAACATTCCAGACTATTCATGCCCATGACGAAACTAGAAACATTACAGCCTATTCATTCCCATGACGAAACTGGAAACATTACAGCCTATTCATTCCCATGACGAAAGTGGAAACATTCCAGCCTATTCATTCCCATGACGAAAGTGGAAACATTCCAGCCTATTCATTCCCATGACGAAACTGGAAACATTACAGCCTATTCATTCCCATGACGAAACTAGAAACATTACAGCCTATTCATTCCCATGACGAAACTGGAAACATTACAGCCTATTCATTCCCACGAAGAAACATAAAATATTACAACCTATTTAATTCCATTTTTAGGTTTGGGTAATTTAGTATATTAGCTTAGTGACGTCAGCGCTCGAGAGGACGGGCTGGATATGTGATTGTTAAGTCAGGAAGTTGTACTGAATAGCTGTAACGAACTGTATGGCAAAATGCACTTTTTTATGGAACATAAATGTAGAGACGTGTGTAAACTATAATGAAAAGGTTGGTGTAGTTCTCGTGGTGGATATCACAGAAAGCATAAATTTATTGAATACAAAAATGGTTTAAATTATTTATATAAATAAATAATGTTTATTTAGGTAAGGTACATACATACAAGAAATTTTTACAAAGATTGGTGGACTTATAGATAGAGCTAGTACATACAATGCCTAAAGCCACTATTACGCAAAGCGTTTCGGGCGTTTTTTTATGCTGTATTCATGCCTTTGTGGTGAAATTCCAGATTCGTTTTTGTTTTTTTATTAAAAAAACAATTCACACTTTTCAATCTTGAAATCCCTACAAGACACATTTGAGTTTTATGTTTTTTTCTCACCCAGAAAAGTGCTGCAGCAAGATTTCTAAATTTAGTAAATGAGCTTAATGAAAAAATTATTACTTTTGAATACCTTAAGAATAATTTCATTTGTTTCATCTTTCAGAAGGGCTTCACTCTTGCCCCTGCAGAGAAAAATGGTCCTCCAAGCTATGGCCGCATCGTGGTGAATCATATGAAATCTGGTCCGCGATAACAAATTAATTTGACACCCCTTGGTCCAGGTAGGGATCACCAATATGCCTAAAAGGCTTCCTGTTCCTGACATTGGTAAACAAATTAACGTCACAAAACGGTTACCCCACTAATATGAAGGCCGTCCCAGCTTGCTTTCAATAAATAAACAAAGTGTGATTGAACAGCACTTTGCTGGAGCAAAGGAACAGACTAAGAGGTGGAATATAAGGACAGACTAAGACCTGGGACATGAGGACACTGCATCATTTCCATCCAACCAAGTGTCCCGAATTGGACTTGTAGGTTAACCTGGCAGAGAGCTACCGATGCGTGTATAAGGAGTGAGTTACGTCAGGTACTTGAAGGGGGAGAAACCCAGGTTTAGCGCCCACCAGCCAGGGAATCCCAGCACACGCTGGCTAGCCATAAACGGGGCTACACTTTAGGGCGGGAGGCGAGTCAACAGTACGTTACTGGCCAGACACAAATCATGCTCAATATGGTTGACCATTATGACAAGTATCATCACTCACTATTGTCCCACGACGTCACCCACCATTGTCCCACGACATCACCCACCATTGTTCCACGACGTCACCCATCATTGTCCCACGACATCACCCAACATTGTTCCACGACATCACCCAACATTGTTCCACGACGTCACCCATCATTGTCCCACGACATCACCCAACATTGTTCCACGACATCACCCAACATTGCCCCACGACATCACCCACCATTGTCCCACGACATCACCCACCATTGTCCCACGACATCACCCACCATTGTCCCACATCACCCACCATTGTCCCACGACATCACCCACCATTGTCCCACGACATCACCCACTCACCCTCCCTGAATAACAATGTTCCATAACCCTGAATAACGAGCAGGGGATGCTTGGGGAAGCAACAAACGGAGGATGTGTTCATGGTCGAGAAGCAGGTGAGAATAGCAATGTTTTCACCCTTCACACAAGAACAACTTCTTCCTACAATCTGAAATCTTAAAAATCACAATGGCTCTACTTAACCAAAAACGTTTTATACCAAGCAACCCCCTACGCTCGGTTTGCCACTCCGTAAGAAATGCGACTGTTTTGCCTTGCCGGAAACACACGTATAAACCCATCAAGGCCGATTCACAGAAAACATATTTTGTGTGATACTTCAATGTTTACTAATGCGTGTAATTTTCAACAGATTGTTCGACTGGGTTAAAAATTCGAGTGTTACGTGAGAGGATATGTGTAATTTACACGGCGTTCCGAGCTGGGTGCGTGGCTTCACCAGCGAGGATATATAAGAGGAGCGCGGGATGGCGTATCTGTCGTTCTCTCCTAGCCTTGTGACCTGCAGCTCAGCAGGACCGTGCACCTGTCGTTCTCTCCTAGCCCTGTGGCCTGCAATTCAGCCGGACGCACCGTCTTGCGTCACCTGTGTAGTGCTGTCCTCAGCGATACATACCGACATGAAGCTCCCAGCCCTCCTCCTGAGCCTTGTTGTTGTGGCTGCCAGGTAACGTAGTCTTGTAGAGGGTTGACAAACGACTTAAATGCTTTCTTAGTTGTTTTACCTTCTTTCACGCCCTGTGATAGTTTTTTTTGCTCTGTGAAATTACTTTGTTAAGGACCTAATACATCCTAAGGGAGGTTTAGATCTATTATCGACCCGGTATCCATATATCTATCTATCCGGTAGATACTATCCGGTAGATACTAGATAGTATCCACCGGATAGTATCCGGTGGATACTATCCGGTATCCATTCTGTGGGAGGTTTTTGTTTAGTACTGACCCAGTACCCATTCAATGGGGAGAGTTAGCCTATTGTAGACCCAGTACCGTCCTCTGGCTGGTTAGTTTAATTAGTGCATTAAGCCCCACGTACCCATGATCGTTGGGTTCAGGGATTGGGCATAAATGTTTCTCAAGCTTAGTAATTTTGCATTTGCTGTAAATTGTTTGACTTATTAGTTTCTGGGGTCCACTTCTTTATTATTTCCATCTTGATGACGGATATGCGTACAGACTCCAGACACACACAATGGCCCAAGGGACAAGAAACTACAATAATAATATTGTAATTTCCTGCCCGAAACGCTATGCGTACTAGTGGCTTTACAAGAATGTAAAGTCTAGAATTCACAGTCTCCGTGGTGTAGTGGTAAGACACTCGCCTGGCGTTCCGCGAGCGCTATGTCATGGGTTCGTATCCTGGCCGGGGAGGATTTACTGGGTGCATTTCCTTAACTGTAGCCTCTGTTTAACGCAACAGTAAAATGTGTACTTGGATGAAAAAACGATTCTTCGCGCCAGGGGATCGTATTCCAGGCACCTGCCCGAAACGCTACGCGTACTAGTGGCTGTACAAGAATGTAACAACTCTTGTATATATCTCAAAAAAATGTAAACACATCATGCTATGCATTCTCATAAACCCAATGTACCTTCATGAATATATAAATAAATCAATATTTCTTCTGTTTGCTCAGCGTGGAAGGAAAACAGCTGCCAAGGTGCACACCATGTGAGCTAGTGAGGTGCGCAGGGGGACCAGAGACAATGAAGTGCGCTTATGGCATTGTAAAGGACTTTTGCGGCTGCTGCTATACCTGCGGCCAAGTGAGTATATATGTAGGTCTATACCCGCGGGCAGACATTGTATGATGATTTTAAATGTTGTCGTGCAACTTTGAAGTGGAACGTATTGCATGATTATAGCATTTTGTTAAGTTAATTTGAGGCTATATGTTAGCCTCTTATTTATTTATTTATATTTCAGATTTTTTTTTTGAGAACTTTCAAAACGTCGGAAAAACTTTAGTCAGTCAATGATTTAATGAGATGTGTGAGTGTGTGTTGGTTTAATGAGATGTGTGTGTGTGTGTTGGTTTAATGAGATGTGTGAGTGTGTGTTGCTTTAATGAGATGTGTGAGTGTGTGTTGCTTTAATGTGTGAGTGTGTGTTGCTTTAGTGAGATGTGTGAGTGTGTGTTGGTTTAGTGAGATGTGTGAGTGTGTGTTGCTTTAGTGAGATGTGTGAGTGTGTGTTGCTTTAATGAGATGTGTGAGTGTGTGTTGCTTTAGTGAGATGTGTGAGTGTGTGTTGGTTTAATGAGATGTGTGTGTGTGTGTTGGTTTAATGAGATGTGTGAGTGTGTGTTGCTTTAATGAGATGTGTGAGTGTGTGTTGCTTTAGTGAGATGTGTGAGTGTGTGTTGCTTTAATGAGATGTGTGAGTGTGTGTTGCTTTAGTGAGATGTGTGAGTGTGTGTTGGTTTAATGAGATGTGTGAGTGTGTGTTGGTTTAGTGAGATGTGTGAGTGTGTGTTGGTTTAGTGAGATGTGTGAGTGTGTGTGTTGCTTTAATGAGATGTGTGAGTGTGTGTGTTGCTTTAATGAGATGTGTGTGTGTGTGTGTTGCTTTAATGAGAGATGTGAGTGTGTGTGTTACTTTAATGAGAGATGTGAGTGTGTGTTGCTTTAGTGAGATGTGTGAGTGTGTGTGTGTTGCTTTAATGAGAGATGTGAGTGTGTGTGTGTTGCTTTAATGAGAGATGTGTGAGTGTGTGTGTTGCTTTAATGAGAGATGTGTGAGTGTGTGTGTTGCTTTAATGAGAGATGTGTGAGTGTGTGTGTTGCTTTAATGAGAGATGTGTGAGTGTGTGTGTTGCTTTAATGAGAGATGTGAGTGTGTGTGTGTTGCTTTAATGAGAGATGTGAGTGTGTGTGTTACTTTAATGAGAGATGTGAGTGTGTGTTGCTTTAATGAGATGTGTGAGTGTGTGTTGCTTTAATGAGATGTGTGAGTGTGTGTTGCTTTAATGAGAGATGTGAGTGTGTGTTGCTTTAATAAGATGTGTGAGTGTGTGTTGCTTTAATGAGATGTGTGAGTGTGTGTGTGTGTTGCTTTAATGAGATGTGTGAGTGTGTGTGTGTGTTGCTTTAATGAGATGTGTGAGTGTGTGTGTGTGTTGCTTTAATGAGATGTGTGAGTGTGTGTGTGTGTTGCTTTAATGAGATGTGTGAGTGTGTGTGTGTATTGCTTTAATGAGATGTGTGAGTATGTGTGTGTGTTGCTCAGGTGTGAGTGTATGATGCTTTGGTGAAAGACTGAAACACAATGTTGCGAGAACACTTTATTGGAGATGAAACTTCATCTATAAAATCTTTATCCCGTCTAGCCCCCCCCCCCCCCTTTCCACACACACACACACCTTGAGGACACACACACAAACACACGGGGCCTCACGGCTGAGTGGACAGCGCTCAGGGGTCGTAGTCCTAATGACCCGGTCTCGATTCCCGGCGAAGGCGGAAACAAATGGTCAGTTTCTTTCACCCTGATGCACCTATTCACCTAGCAGTAAATAGATACCTGGGATTGAAACTAAACAAGATGAGAAGATAGTGTCATTGACAACAAACATATGATAAATTAAGGGCTGTCTATTCTAAATACCTCTACTGACTCTTCATCAAGTGGCCTAAATCTAATTCTTGAGTACACAGTTTAGAACTAAAGTTATATGTATCATGTTAACTTGTACATGAGAATGTTAACTAACGTTGAAATTAGTTTATTGAGGTATACACACACAGGGATTTTTTTTTATTATTATTATTTTCTACCACAGACGTGGCCACACATTTACAATGCTAACCAGCATATATACACATTTTCTTCTGTCCTCCATGGACAGGGTTAGAGAAGTGTTAAACATATAGTTCAAGGCTTTATTGAACACTCAACCACAGAAGGTGATTCGGTGCTTTTAAAATGCTAAGCTAACCTACATACGTAAATACATAGATACTTAACACCAAGGGATACTTAATTAACATGATGTGTGTCTCGCTGCAGCCCTTGGGAAGCCCTTGTGGACACAAGCTCGGCACCTGCGGGGAGGGCCTGGTCTGCAGTCCCTCCAGGATTCAGGGCACTTGTGTCCCCAGCCCTACGACGGTCAAGGGGTAATCTCCTGCCGCTCTCTCATCGGCTGTCACCGCTACGACCCACCTGCCGCCACTAGAACGACTCTCCTGCTGTTTACTGTTACCGGAACGACTCTCCTGCTGTCTACTGTCATCGGAACGACTCTCCTGCTGTCTACTGTTACCGGAATGACTCTCCTGCTGTCTACTGTCATCGGAACGACTCTCCTGCTGTCTACTGTCACCAGAATGACTCTCCTGCTGTCTACTGTCATCGGAACGACTCTCCTGCCGTCTACTGTCATCGGAACGACTCTCCTGCTGTCTACTGTTACCGGAATGACTCTCCTGCTGTCTACTGTCACCAGAATGACTCTCCTGCTGTCTACTGTCATCGGAATGACTCTCCTGCTGTCTACTGTCATCGGAACGACTCTCCTGCTGTCTACTGTCACCAGAATGACTCTCCTGCTGTATCCTGTTCATATAAACCACATTCCAGGGGTTAACCTTAAGCAAACTATGTATTTAACCACAGAAACAAAACATATTCCATCAAGCCAATACCTCATTATTACTGCAGCTAATATCTGTAGCTAAATTATATTCAACAATTTATTATGTTAAATTTATTAATTGTTCAAACAAGGTATGCGAGGTTAATAACCAACTAAAACATATTTCAAATAACATGCAACAAATTACATATGCGTAATAATTCAACCTTATGCATCACGCAGTATGAAACGAAATGAATAATTTTGACTCAAATGAAAGCAAAAATGTAAATTAACATGAAATAAATGAAGGCACGAGTCACAGGAAACCCAAGTCCTGAGTTTATTAGAAAATCTTAATAGAAATAATTATCATTTAGATGAGTTCAATAAAAAACGATTGTAAGTTAAATTATTTAAATAAAAGTAAGTAAGAGAGAGAGAGACAGAGAGATCCACTGAGAATTAATTTTCATTAATTTTTATCGAACACATTTTTGAATCTCACAAATTGAATCAGCACTTGTATTTTTCTGTAGTTTCGTAACCTTGAAGCCTTGTTTATGGCTACCCAGCGTGTGGATGCTGGGATTCCCTGGCAGGTGGGCGCTATAGCTGGGTTTCTCCCTCTTCAAGTACCTGGCCTGGCTGTCTCCTTCGTCCTGTCCCTCTGCAGGAATACTTTTTTGTATCCCTCCACATGCTGCAGTCGACTCTTCCTTTCGAGAATATCCTCCTTCGTGGTTTCGTTTGTAAACACCACCTTTACAAGTCGGTTTCTGTCCTTGTTATACCAGCCCAACCTGAAAACCTTCTCAATGTTATGTATAGCCCCTTCCATCTGTAACCCCTTCAGTAGCCCATGTACTGCCTCTCTATCCTTGCCATTCCATTCTTGCCTGTTGGATCCTTCCTGTTTGTTGATGCCTACAACTACCACTGATCTTTTTCTTTCCAGCAGTTGAGTGGTGCACCTTGCTGCTTCTTGTGACGTAGCTGCCTGCATCGCTACCTCTCTCACTGTGTCCATTGCTTCTGAGCTCTTTTTCAGTCGTTCCGCAAATGTTTCAGGTACAGAGGCATTTCCTTTCAATGTAACATTCCCACCTTCCCTTTGGATGATAATCTGATGCTCGGTCTCTTTATTTTTCTCTGTGAGAGATTTGATCTCCTCCCCTGCTGATGCCAGCTCACTTTGCAGATTGTTAATTGTAATCCTCATTTCATTCATCTCCCTCCTGAATTCCTCCAGAACTTGGGTTAGCAATTCCTTTGTTTGACCTCCCTGGCTGCTTCCCATGTCCCTGTTGTGGCCTCCTGCCATTTTGCCCCATGTCAAGAGAGAGAGCAAGAGAGAGAGAGAGCAAGGGAGAGAGTGAGAGCAAGAGAGAGAGAGAGCAAGAGAGAGAGAGCAAAAGAGAGCAAGAGAGAGCAAACAAGAGAGAGAGAGAACAAGAGAGAGAGAGAGCAAAAGAGAGCAAAAGAGAGAGAGCAAGAGAAAGAGAGCAAGAGAGAGAGAGAGCAAGAGAGAGAGAGCAAGAGAGAGAGAGAGAGAGAGAGAGAGAGAGAGAGAGAGAGAGAGAGAGAGAGAGAGAGAGAGAGAGAGAGAGAGAGAGAGAGAGAGAGAGAGAGAGAGAGAGAGAGCAAACAAGAGAGAGAGAGAACAAGAGAGAGAGAGAGCAAGAGAGAAAGAGAGAGCAAACAAGAGAGAGAGAGAACAAGAGAGAGAGAGAGCAAAAGAGAGAGAGCAAGAGAGAGAGAGAGAGAACGTGTGTGCGCGTGGGATGGGGTTAAGAGGAGGTGAGGTGTTCAGCTTACGGCAGGTAAGAGAAGGGGTAAGAGAGGGGGTGGATTATGAGAGGTTTTATCCCCTTTCCACGAAAGGTGTTAATCCCTTCTAGCCTGTGTGTGCGTGTGTGTGCGAGCATACGTACGTGGGCTTGAGTGCGTGCGTGCGTGTGTCACGAGTTCCCGTAAGCGTTAACTTCTACCCAGAATGAGCCACTCTGAGATTTTAAATATATATACTATCCTGAACAAGAATTTGATAATATTTTACCTCACACTGTACACCTGATTAATTGACCAGAGAGGGGGTACATACCAGTCTGCTTCCCGCTCACACAACTAGATGAGTAATGATGATGTATGGTTGACGATGGTGCTCCGTCGTCGCCTTCCACTTGGTGATTCTCTAAGTGCTAGTAGATTGATGATGGCGGTTCTTCTCTATCTACACAAATCTCTGGAGTCACAGTCACCACCCAACAAACACAATCAGCAGTTCCACGGCGGGTCGTCCCACCTGGCCGTCAGGTCAGGTTGCTCTACGCGGTCCACCACACTGTATGCACCGGTGATGCCACTAGCTACACTTTGGTTTCTTCGCACTATCGCTAGCGATATGACTATGCTATGCAGCACCCTGCTAGCTACACACTGCGAGAGGCCAAATACTATGATCTAGCCTCTATAATCCTTCAATGTCCCGAGAAATTGACGAATTTCCGCGGACCTCGCTAATCGCATAATAAAATATAGTGCTGAGTACTGTGAGTCTAACTAAATAGCTCTGTTACCACACCGAGATGTGTCAACAGGTCTACTCAGCGTAGCACTCAGGAGTAATCTGAATCTTGGAGAGCTTGGTAGCCCTGGGGACTTGAGAATGGTCCAGGACGGACCGAAACGTCGTCGTCCCTTCAACTTCTAGTGTGTGGTCTGGTCAACACCTTGGTAGCCCTATTTATACAGAATATCAGCTGGCCAGAGGGCGCTGATGTCTTCTTTTAACTATGAACCAGCTGTTAAACTGCTTGTTACGGAGGGCGTGGCCTCCCAGCGACCCAGGTGCGAGGTGGGGTGACGGGCCGTGGTGCAAGAGGGTGACTGGTAGACTGTCTACCCAGGTGCGAGGTGGGGTGACGGGCCGTGGTGCAAGAGGGTGACTGGTAGACTGTCTACCCAGGTGCGAGGTGGGGTGACGGGCCGTGGTGCAAGAGGGTGACTGGTAGACTGTCTACCCAGGTGCGAGGTGGGGTGACGGGCCGTGGTGCAAGAGGGTGACTGGTAGACTGTCTACCCAGGTGCGAGGTGGGGTGACGGGCCGTGGTGCAAGAGGGTGACTGGTAGACTGTCTAGACGTCTGGAAGTAGTTGTTCTTGTTGTTCTTGGCTGCAGTTCTTGATTACACAAACGTGAATATATATATATATATATATATATATATATATATATATATATATATATATATATATATATATATATATATATATATATATGATGAAAGTACAAAATATACAATGAAAACATAATAACGAGATACATATGTGTTTCATAAACTATGTGTAGCCTAAACTGTGTATAGGCTAAGGAAAAGGGAATAAGGGTATGGGAGGGTAGGAGGGACGGAAGAGCGCTATGAGGAGAAAGGGGAGGGGCGGGAGGTGCTGTATGAGAGAGGTAAATGAGAACTAGCTAAAGCATTAGTAATCCTGCCATGCGACAACATCCTTCCATCCTACAGCTCAATACCCCCGTTCAGTGTTACTCCTCCTCTTCAGTTTCGTTCGGGGCCCGGCGGCGGTGTTGGTGGTGAGTTGTTCGGGAATCTTGGTGACAGGAATTGGGTGATACCCTTAGGTATCGGTGTGGTGGAGCTGAAGTCATTGGCTTCCTGGATCGGCATGTACCTGAACCGCAAGAAAATAGTCTTGTGTTTGGCGTCTTGGACACACCACATGTCTTCCGTACACGGTCCGTCCATGTCGATGCTTCCACCGCACTCCACCCCTTTTACCTGAGAAGAAAGAACATGTTAATAGGGTTCTGTGGTGAGTGCAGTCCGCTTCCAACCGAAAGGTCCCGGGTTTATTTCCATGCGGATGGAGAGAAGTGTTTGAGCAACGTTCTCATTCCCCAGATGACTCTGTGCGTGTACAAGAGGCCCTCTGGGAGGTACCGGACTAGGATCAGTAATCCCGACTGGCGCATGATACGATAATGATTAACTACAATGATATAATGTAATACACGTTGATGATGTACTGAAATATTGTTACAACATCTATATGTTGTAATTATATTTCAGTCAATCACCAATGTAAACACCAGACACATGCACTCACCTTGGAACACTCGTGGCAGTGCTCACAGCCGCTCTTCACTACACCCTTGGGACAGTCGTAGATGTCCAGCATGGGGGCATCTGGTACCCTCGCAAGGGAAGCATGTCAGCCCGTGGCAGCGGGAAGATCAAACACAGAGTAACTTACAAGGCACTCACGTCAGTAATGACATTTAGCATTATATATATATTAGTGTATTTTGGTAGCAGTCTTTCTTGTAAACATATGTTGTTGAATATGACTGAAAAGGTAAGATTAATAGTTCTAACACGAATTTTCTCAATATTTCTTATGTTTTTCTTCACTATCGGTGGTAATAAAAATAACAATTCTCCAAAATTGTTCTGTGTGTGTATATATATATATATATATATATATATATATATATATATATATATATATATATATATATATATATATATATATATATATATATATATATATATATATATATGTCGTACCTAGTAGCCAGAACTCACTTTTTGGCCTACTATTCAAGGCCCGATTTGCCTAAAAAGCCAAGTTTTCCTGAGTTAATATATTTTTACAATTTTTTTTCTTATGAAATGATAAAGCTACCCATTTCATTATGTATGAGGTCAATTTTTTTTTATTGAAGTTAAAATTAACGTAGATATATGACCGAACCTAACCAACCCTACCTAACCTAACCTATCTTTATAGGTTAGGTTAGGTTAGGTAGCCGAAAAAGTTAGGTTAGGTTAGGTTAGGTAGGTTAGGTAGTCGAAAAACAATTAATTCATGAAAACTTGGCTTATTAGGCAAATCGGGCATTGCATAGTAGGCTGAGAAGTGCGTTCTGGCTACTAGGTACGACATATATATATATATATATATATATATATATATATATATATATATATATATATATATATATTTATATATATATATATATATATATATATATATATATATATATAACTGAAAACTCACACCCCAGAAGTGACTCGAACCCATACTGCCAGGAGCAACGCAACTGGTATGTACAGGGACGCCTTAATCCGCTTGACCATCACGACCGGACATAAGGAAGTGATAGCCGAAGCTATTTGAACCACT